TCGAAATCAATGAAGCAACCGTGCGTAAACACGGGTATACTGCTAGTCTTCTCTAAATCGTCTCTGCTACCAGTATGGATGCTACACTCACGAGGTGTCTCAAGTGTCTGTTTTGTGATTGACGACATCGGAATTCGTTCCCTCCCCTTGCTTGCTGCTGCTAATTCTTCATCAGACTGGTCTGTGTTCCAGTGTTGAGAACCAGGTGGATTGGAGCTTGCATTGTGAGAGTGACAGATGAGACCTTGAGGCATAAGATGTATGGGTTACTGTTACTGCTCTCTGTTTCCTACAATCACGGGCATTCATCAGGAACAGCTTGTCAAGCTAAGATTTCACCCAAGGCAGTGACCAATGCCAAGCGCGAAGATGAACCTTTTGGCGTCACTTGTTTACAAGGGGCCTATCATAATGGGAACCAAGCAGGGACAGCACGCACGTTCCCCCACTTCGTTTTTGTATGTGCAGCTCGTTCACAGAGCGCATAAAAAAACGAAAGCATCAGTCTGTAGTCCACGTACATCCCACATCAACGAGCGACTCATGATCCAATTTGGATTTGATGCAGTTCAGCTTGTGTTCAGTTGGGCGCTCTGTCAGCCAATACGTGGAACACATTTATGCGAGCAACAGCAAAGTTTTACCATGATGTGACGCAGTACCTTTTGTCCACAAACCAATCATCACCTTTCCTGCTACTATCCATGAGAATCGATGCGATACGAGAGCAACCATCTCTCATCGTTCATATCGCATCCACCTAAGTCACTGATGGCCTTCACACACAGGCCGTCATCATCCATGAGTCGCCACGAATGCCTCGATAACGTGGGATGCAGCGAATTCTCCCGGATAAACAGTGGAGGCGACATTTGACGGGTAGCGAGCGTAGGCTTTTACACGACGCTGATTCGCAGAGGACATGCCCCCATCTTCTCGAGGATTGGTAACCATAGTGAGCCGCTGACATCTCTATTCGAAGACCCCGAATCGCCCGAACCCTTGCTGTTGAAACGTCCTGGTCGTGAGACGGAGACATTCACCGGGCAGAGCTCCCATCTGAATCCTCGTGTCAGGCTGTCTCCCGGATCCTGACAGTCACGGGAGTTCTGCAGTAATGTAGTAGCATCAACCACCATAGTGCGTAACACATAGTACGATTCAAGTCGCTCACCGCAGAATCCCTCGAGCGTGCATCTTCGGAAACCAGGAAACGAGGTGTTCCCGCCAAACCTGCTCAGACGGGACCTTCTCTATGTCCTCCAAATGAATGGGTACCAGGAACTCAAAGACGACGGCGCGCAGAGCAGGAGACTGAGACCCGGAAAGCAGGTGATCGATCTGGGTGCAATGGAGGCCGTCTAGAGCGCGGAACAGTTCTGCGAGCGAGGTCTGGCCGGGGATGCGCTCGTAGGAGGCGACTCGAATCTCCGATAGCTTCGATCGCGGAGTGGCAGACAGGACAGCCAGAAGCCAGGCCGAGTGGCGAACGAGCCCGTTGGCGTCGACATTCAAACAGAGCGTCTGCAGGTTGACTGCAGAATTGAAATCCAGGGGCAGATCTCCAGATTGGATGGAATCAGTCACAACATCGGCGTAGCGGGCACTGCGACGGAGACTTACCCTTCCAATCCCGGACACCTGCACCGAGGTCGATGATGATGGATGAGAGCGATGGGCCAGCTGTACTCAAGAGTATCTGATAGGCATCCCTCTGCTCCGGATCGCAGTCATATAACGCGAGACGCTGCAGACCAGTGCCGATCGAGGTCAAGACAAAAAGGTCGACGACATCAGGACTGTACCCCAGAACGAGACGCGTGAGTGCACAGCGCTTGGGCATCCGAACAGAGCCCGCGATGAACCCGGAGGTCCTAAAATCCAGCGCCCAGCACATGAGGCTCGAGAGACGAGGCAAGGCGCAGACCAGCCGCCCAAAGACGGCCACGGACGGGAACCCAACTTCGAATAGCACAAGCGTGGCGACCGACTGGAATGTCGCACCAACGTGCATGAAGACGTGCCGGTGCAGCTCTCCAGGGACCCATTCAAGACTCCGGAGAACAAGCGTCTCCGCGTGGGGGAGCCGCCGCGCCATGCACGCAGCGAACGACCCGAGGACGGCGACGTGCTCGTCGATGCGCACGAGCCGTATCGCGTCCCTGCGGCGTCTCTCCTCCCCCAGGCGGTAGACTTGCTTCTTCTCGTCGAGCACGACGCTGCCGCGGGCGTGGAAGCGGCACCGGGGGTACCACTCGCGGCAGACCTGCGCGTAGACCCAGAGCTCGTACTCCCTGTACTGGTACTCCTCGGCGAGGCGGTCGATAACTCTCTCCCACACCTCAGTAGGCAGCTGAATCGCGGGCCTGTCGATACTCTTCGACCGTATGATGCCACATTCCCCGGGCTGTGGCTCGTAGCGCAATAGGAGCTGAAGGCGGATCTCTGTAGGGGGGCGGATGCACTTCAGTGCGCCGCACCAATGTGCAGGTAAGCCAATGTTTGAGATCACTCACCAAAATCGTCCATGCCCGAGAATCCTTGTCCCTGGTGCCACATCGCCTGTATTGCTCTGTGCTCTTGTCACCTAGTCGTCGACCGAAAGATCAACCGTGTGAAGACATCGCGAATCCACATAGCTTAGCAATGCCGTAAGGAGATAATGATGCTGGTAACCGTTTCGCATGGCATAGCCACGCCAAGAGTCGTCCATGTCAACTTGAATATTGTTCAAGATTAAGTATCAGTAGCACGAAATCACCGTCAGAAACGACAGCTCGCAACACCGCTGTGCAGCGTAATGCATCGCAACGTGCCCTGTCCTACCCAGCCGGTACACGGTAAGTAACAATGATTTTACATCTCAGATTACTGTTCACACGTATGCACTCAAATTCTCCTCGTCAACCCTGAATGCAGTATTCGGGAAGGCCTGTCAGATGAACCAGACTGTTTGCCACGATTCGAAGGATTTGAGTTGAGTTGAGCTACGCGAGGAGCACAGCAGTCTCCTCTGGACTCGATTCAAGCCAGGCTCCTTCGAATATGACACCGACGCCTACTCTCTCTCGTAGGCGTGGATCATGCGCCTTCCGTACCGCCATCACATGTAGAATGCCTCCAAAGTACCATGGCCCGTAGATATGCTCGTCGTAGAGACCTATCATCCCCCCGCACCGAGAGAGAACGATGAACTCCAAGATAGTGGACGAGGGTGTGAGAGCGGGGAGAATCATGCGCCCTACGCCCGCCGAAGGTGATCTTGTATGAGAGACAATATGGAAGATCTTGTTGGGCGAGTCTTGGAGGCCATCATCTCCCATTCTCAAGATCTCAAAGTGTGCGCATTGGGTGAGAAAGATGAGAGTGCCGGGCGGTGGCGGAGGCTCAAGCTGGTCGTAGTGCATCTGGTTCTTTGGAGGTGTGTATCGCGCCACGGGCAGCTGCGCTGCCTCTGAGTCCACAGTAATCTGACTAGGGCGGATGGGTCCAACGTCGAGTTGGACGATCTCCCCGTTGTAGTCTACCATATGCCAAAGAGTGATCAGAGACTCGAGAGGTTGTGGACGGGTGCCGGACGTGATGGTCGGGCTTATCAACTGACTCTCGTCAGTATAGGCGACTGCACCTCTCCACCCCGCCCATGCCCAGGATGGCCAAGGGGACCCCATCGTATCAGATACGCGCCTGCTATGCACCCAGTCCATCCTTGGCTGCCAGAGCAACGAGTAATCGAGATCTCTAATCTGCATTCCATAGCGAAACGCCTTGCCAGTATCACCGCCCATGAGCTGATACCCCCTTGTAATTGCGTTCGTCAATGCGGTAATAGCGTCCACGATATCCGATTCGTGGCTGAGCTGGCGTCGTGTGTATAGTCCAACGGCGGTCGCGTAGCTTGTCGTATGGTCAGGATTGGGAAAGGTGGGTGGCTTGCGTAGGAACGATCCAGATCCGAGATAGCGCATTGGATGGTCAGAATATCGCAGTGTCTTGCTTTCTGCAATGAGATCCTCGCACCATACATCCTTTCCACACTCAAAGTACGCCTGACGCTTGGTGAAGAAAAGACGCCGACGAGAGAGTATGAGCTCTTGGAAAGTCCACCCTCGCGTATCCCAGATGGACTGTGCCAACGTCTCCCGAAGTGAGGGGAGTGGTAAAGCAAGGTGTAGCCCTTGGACGATTTCGATCTGCTGGTCGGGAGACCGAGTTCCCGGCAAAAGGCCTGGAAGTCGGGCTCGAGCTGCCTCTCCACCGGCAGCGAAAATAGTAAACGCAGCTTTGCTATAGATGAGGTCCATGACATGAATCTGCACAGCCTTGTCTTCTGGACTATCTTGGATGATGCAGAGCGCATCCACCCATAGATAGCGCTCCTGCAGTTGCTGGACCAGATGAACCGAATCTAGGATGGTTGCAGGTAGGACGGATCCATCAAGCCCAGCGGGAGATGTGCGTGCGTCGATGTTCGCCATCGTTGTCCAGTAATCCTCCCCCGGTCCTCCCCAGACATAGCTCAAAGCCACGTAGCGACAATTTGGAGGGGCTCGAACCACCGCCATCAACGTGACGTCCACCATCCGCACAGTGCTCGGCAAATTCTCATCATTTCCCCTCCACCACACCGACTCGCACGCATCGCCGTGTTCCTCTTCGCACAGCGATAGCCACTTCTCCACTAGCGCCACGTCCACCGTATCACCCATCCTGCGGCCATGAAGCTCCCTTGGCCTTGAGACTATTTGCGCGTCCTGTTCCAAGAGCTGAATATCGAGTCCCATACTCATTCGTGCTGCAGTCATGGCATTGTATATTTCTTGTGGCCGGTCAGAGGTAAGAACGCGCAAGCGATGACATTGCTTTTTCTCCTCCAGATCTGGATCTTCTAAAGCGCCACAACCAGTCGCGTAGATTGAGCACTGTATGTTCGAGAGATCGACGTCTGAATGATGCTCCAGGCGCCAGCACCGACGCAAGAGTGATGTGACGAGGCGGCATAGTAAGCATTGTTCGCTCTTCTTCAGAATGTCAGTGAGCAGACCGAGCGGCGCCTTACGTTCCCTGGGAAGACCATCACGGAGCATGCTCTGAATGTCGAGTACCGAGCAAGTTGCACAGAGCGTTTCTGCCAACACCGACGCGGGATCCTTGCGGGGTCTTGATTTCAAACAGCACATCTTCCAAAGATCCTGCAGTAATAGCATCTACAAGCAACCGATATGGTTGAGAGGGAAGTGTGGGAAATGCAGCGAGGAAGGGTATTCCTGCAGCGGAATGTTAGTCCAGCTTGAATGGGGGACATCCAAGTTATCTCAACCATTCGACGTAGCTACAACCGACCATGCAGGAGTCATGCTGCTGCCTTGAGGACGGAAAATGTAATCGATGTGTTTGGGCGCATATCGCACTCAACGCGTCCAATCACACGTGCGTCTGCCTTTATATTATTGTGGCCATGGCCCTCCACGGTCGGAGAATTATGTCCTTCAGGCCACAACTTGAAACTTGAACGTACCACATACACTTGGATCCACGGAGATGGAGATATTTACAATACAATTTCTTCATTTCCACGTGTCATCACACCATCTCGCGGATTCTAACCATCACAGGTGTCCTGAGTTACGAAGGGTTCATAAGCTATTCGCTGAGACGCAAGTGCCCAGCCAACCCACCGGAGAAGCTGCTTTGCATGTAATTCCGGAAACGCAGATATGAGATGCGCTCGCCATTCTTTAGCAGTGGGCACCTTTCTGATGTCTGCAAGATGGATGCACGCCAGGAGCTCAAAAGTGACCGCGGTGAGGGCGGTATATCGGGGCCCAGATAGAATCTGGTCTACCTGTGCGCGAGATTCATCAAAAGCGCCGAACAGGCCCTCCAGCAAGCATTCGTCGAGGTCGAAGCTGTACGTAGTGATCTTGACCTCACGAAGCTTCGCAGGAGATACCCGCGACAAAATGGCAGCTGGTGTACTTGACTGTTGGCTTAATTGATGAAAACTGAGATGTAAAGATATCATTTCTAAATTCTCGACGATGCTGAGGTCCAATGGAATATCTGAAAATCAAGTGAGCACTCGCAGCGCCCAATTTTGGCTTTCGCATATCAACACACCTTGCCAATCTCCAGAATGAGGACTTGGACGAATGTCAACGGACGAGAGCGATGTTCTAGCCAGATCTACTAATCTTTGATAGACAGGACCGAGTACCTCGTTGCAGTCCTTCAGGGCAATGCACCGTAGAGTGGCACATATCGATGTCGTGGTAAGAAATTCAATAACTTCACTGCTACCCTGCAGTTCAAGGCGTGAGAGAGCTAGTGACTTTGGCAGATGGACACAACCAAGGGTGAATGTGGACGATTTGAACTTCAGATCCCAACATATGAGGTTGGTGAGGTGAGGAAGTGCAGCAACGAGCCGGCCAAATATGGCCACAGACGGGAAGCCAGTTTCATACAGCACGAGAACAGTGATTGATTGGAATGCTGCGCTCACTTGCAGGAATATCTGACAGTGCATCTGCCCCAGCTTCCACCTCCCGCCTCGGAGCGTAAGCATCTCCACTCGAGGCAGCTTTTGAGCCATCGTCGCGGAGAATGGCCCTAGGATGTCGATGTGGTCGTCAATACGCACCATTCTCACAGCCTCCCTGCGACACGGGTCCACTTCTGTCATCCTTGCAAAACTGTGCACCTGCCTCCTATTGCTGAGCGCGAGACCTCGTTGGGCATGGAAGCGGCATCGAAGGAACCATGCGCGGCATACACGTCCGTAATCCCATAAGGCATATTCTCTGTAACGGTACCCCTCTGCCAGTTCATCAACAATACGCTCCCATATTTCTACCGGAGGACTACGAGGCTGTCCTGGGTCAGGTCTTTGCGCACGAGATGATAGCGACAATTGACCGCCGTCGTTAATAGCTGATACATGCTTCAGCCAAACATCTCGTAATACAGTTCTTCGTGTCACTCACCCATAGTGTTGGAAAGCTTTCGAGTATCAGCTCGCGCTGGCTCGCTTGCTTCGTCATGTCTATGAAGCGAATTCGCGGGGACTAGCGCCATTTCAGGAAACGGAAGAGCATCTGGCTTGTCGAGTTCGCATTTTTTGGATTTCTGAGCCCCACACCAGGACCCAGGGCTGCTTTCCTTTCTAGGATGCATTAGATAAGGGATATCGACGCGCTGAAATTGTACGAGAAGGATAGATTAGATTAGATGGTCTGGTTGACTCCGCCGCTCTCTTGCTTATCTTCAAGTCCTTGGACAACAACGAGCTTCAGCGAACCCATCCCAAGAAGGTGACATAGCCTATTCTTTGGATACATAGCTTCAGGTGCGGAGATTAACCGGTTGAAGTTCGGTTTGTCATGCGTATCCAAGAAGACTAACCTACACTATATGTTTTCAAGGACGTGCAGATAGTAAATGTATGATATCATAGATCTCGAACTCGAAATGAGTATCCAATATAGTGAACCTCCGGATTTTGGGGTTATGCTGGGACCCCAGGAAAGCACTGTCTTTCGGAACACGGAAGCTGTAGAGAGCTTCGAAGAGGCCCACACACTGTTTCTTCGAAGCTATCTATAATATTTTCGGTAATCAGCTGGAATACTCAGTCGAACTCAATCCAGAAGGTTTTTATTGTGTGTCCGAGAAGATTAGCTTGGGTAGCGTTCCTTCAGGTCTGACGACATCAAAGACTTCGACCTAAAGCATTAGTAGGTGTCCAACAAGACCATCACAAGTCCTATAGCGTTTTGGGAACCCAAAATCTGAGACCTGTGTACAAGTTGCTTTTGTATGTGTGTTCCAGAATGTACTGTCTTCTTGGACAAGACATCCGGCAAACGCGAAACTATGGAAGAATGAATTCTGTATTATGGCTTGAACATGACGCTGTCTCAATCTGATCGCTTCTCTATCGACAGTAACAGGCATGGATGGCAGGCACTGCGCTGATCTGTGCTGGCATCGTATCTACCAAATTCCTTTCTCTCACAGTCTCCATGCACGTACCATACCAAGTAGAGATGCGTGGAAAAAGTCACTTCTTGATCTATCTGTTTGTGAACCCACACAAGCAGCTAGCTCAACTACACACTGTCATCGTCATCTTTCGAGTCTATTTCGCTTGTACCTCTTATGACATTGAATATGCCAGCTGGCTGTTCTTGCGACCTTGAGAAGAATTCCAAGGTCAGTGGCTTGCCTGAGCACCCGCAGTCTTATTCTCACTGCTCTCCATAAACAGTTATTTCTGAATGTTCCCAATCCTACTATGTTCGTTCCCTCCGGACGCGACGACTCAACAATGTGAGACGCACTGGTCAATAGGAGGGGTCCTCATTCCACTGTCTCGCATGTCTGCAAAACCACAATTTTATGGAAATAGATTCAGGATCCGAAGTTTCGGCCTCTTAATGTCCGACCATCCCTAGTGGATTTCTATCCGTAATGACTATAACAGTGCTTTCCAGCATGCTCTCTTGATAGCGATGCGCATCACACAGACGGAGACAGTGTAAGTAAGCACTCGTCAATCTTAAAACAGACGATTATACTATGATCTTCGAAACAGCTACTCAACTACGTGCGCGGAAGTCCTGCGTCAATATACTAACCCTTACATTGTACCTCAAATATTTTCGAGGTGTGTTCATGACCATATATCTTTGTTCTATGTTCCATTTCTGTCAGGGATGGATCATGCTCTCCATCACGGACTGCTAGGTATGATTGCGCGTGTAAACATTTTATACCTCTTGATTTACTTTCATTTACGTTGAACCAATCCACTTCCGATCGAGTGCGATGGTCGGTGAAATCGTCGCACAACTGTTATTCAAGTCAAGGCATCGTGGAAACGTGGGCTTACCGTTCTCTGGACGTGTCGACTGGAAACCAGATGAGCTAGCCTCAAACGAGTATTATTTCAATCTTGCTTACGCAGTTCCCCTTTGGGCTCAACATGAGGCAGGACAAAATTGGCGAAACCGCATGGCGATTGATGGAATCTCTTATGACGCCCATCCCATTCAGCGCCAAACCAACATGATTTTCTTCCGACAAAGACGCTCATCATCCACAGCCATTCGTCTCCCGCGAGCTCCTTCATTGAACATACCCCATGGAAATGGTTTCATCCCAGGTTTGTTCTTCTTGGGCGTCTAAGATTGCTTCGTAACTGACATTGCGTACCATTCCGTTCAGCTAAATATCATTACCGGACCATCATTCTCACTTCACAATTTAAATGGGGATGTTATGGGGCTCATCGTAGCATATCTCGACACAAAGTCTGCGCTTGCTTTGTCCGAGACGTCACGAGTATTTCATACCATGGCGACACGTCAAGCCGTGTCACACTTATCCCTCGACTACAATCGCGATGGCATTTATGATTTTCACACCAAACACGAACGCCTGAAAGCCACATTGGAGTATCTTCTCGCTGATATCACTGGACGTTTGCACTATGTGCGCTGCTTAATCATCACAGAATCGTGCTTCAGAACTCGATCTCAAGCATGCCCTTCTGCCACATCTGTTGATCTCCGCTTGGTGCTCGTCGTGGCAAACGTTCTGGAGAACGCACAAAATCTCCGGTACCTACAGCTTGAATGCATGCACTACTTAACTATGGAGCACTCCCGGATCGTAGACGCCGTCATTGCTCTTCCTCGTTTGGCAGAAGTCAGGTTGACCGAAGTAGATTCTCTTACGCTGAAACTTTTGGGCGGCTTGCGCACGTCGATTCGTCTGGCCTTGAACGTCCCACAGGTCCCACACGTATTGCCCGAGCTGGCAAAACTTCATGGTCATAATATTACTGAGCTGGCTTTGCCGAATCCGTTCAGTATGAGAAACGCGATCACACTGTCGCGACACTACCAGTGGCCTTCCGTCCGACGGTTCAGGACGTATTTCATTAGTCCTGACAACGATGACGAGGGCAACTACATCGGCGACATTATCAAGCGGATATTCCCAAATCTTGAGATCTTTGAGAAACCCGAGCAGGCGATAATAGATGCATTTGACGGTACCGTACTGAGTGTGAATCCGAATCCGACGTGCGCAGTTCTGTTGATTTCAGATTCTAAGTGGCTCATTTTTGCTTCTAGATACGTGGCAGTACATCTTTCAAAACAGGCCTAGCATACAGCATGACTTGCCATTCTGGCTTAAGACTTACTCGCCAATATTCTATGATACAAATATCTTCATTTCTGGAATTTGTAATCATATCCTTGGATCCAGGCCTATGCCCGATCACTGATAGAATTGCATTGCTTGATGGTATATTGCGTGGGATGGAGGACCTTGACACGGTATGCCTTTCTAGTGCTGATAAAGGCGTGAATTTCGTGGTGCATGATGGCGCGCAATGAGCGTCCGGACACACTTATGATAGTCTGCCGGTGCGCCTTCGACTGTGGGTCTATGGCTTCATATAGCTGGGGCTTGAAAGACTCATTGACATCCTCAACCTGTTCGCACCTGGCAAGCATGAAAGGCTGGTCTTGAACAGATGAAGATCTCACACAAGCACGTAATTGATGTTGTAACATGCCACACCGTGGCTGTAGTAATCTTGGAGGCAGAAAGGAATCGATTTAATACATATAAGTTGGTTATCTTTTCCACAGAGCGCCATTTGCGGCTGGCATTACACTACTCACGGATCCTAATCATCACAGGTGTCCTGGACCGCGAAAAATATGAAAGTTGCTCGCCAGGATATACAGGCAACTGGCTTACCGAAGAAGTTTCTTGTCATGTAATCTCGGGAAGATGGACATAAGATGCTCTCGCCATGCACTCTCAGCGGGTACCCTCCTGACATCCGCAAGGTGGATGCACGCTAAGAACTCGAACGTAACCTCGGTCAGTTTGGTATAGGAGGGCCCAGATAGATTCCTGTCGATCTGGGTGCAGGGTAATGTATCGAAAGTGCTGAGTAGGTCTTCGAGATACCACTTGCGGAGAGTGAAGCTATACAAGGTGATTTTGATCTCACGGAGTTTTGCAGGGAGCACTTTTAACAAAGTGGCAGCACGTTTGAGGGATTGACGCTCCAGTTCGTGGGCACTCATGTCCAGAGAGATTCTTTCTAAATTTACTACTGAACTGAGGTCGAGTGGGATGACTTTGAGCGTAATCAGCCCTGGCCGTATCTGTAATTCATAACGACACACCATTTCGGTCTCCGAGAATAAAACTTTGGCGAATGTCCATGGAGCGAAGGGATGTTTTCGCTTGATCTACAAGCCTTTGGTAAGCGGGGCCACATGTTTTGTTGTAGTCTTTAAAAGTGATGTGCCGTAGACCGTTACACATGGATGTCGACGCGAGGAATTCGACAACCTGTCCGCTACCTTGGAGCTCGATGCGTGTAAGGGCTAGTCCCTTCCGTGTGTAGATACAACCAGGTTTGAACGAGGACGAACTGAACTCTAAATCCCAGCACACGAGATTGGTAAGACGAGGAAGCGCAGAGATGAGCCGCCCGAACACGGCCAAAGATGGGAAGTGAACTTCACATAGCTTGAGATTCGTGGTTGCTTGGAACGCGATGCCAAGTTGCAAGAAGATCTGAAAATGCATCCGTTCTGACATCCATCTTCCGTCCTTGAGGACAAGTATATCCACATGAGGCAGCTTTTGGGCCATCGTTGCAGAAAATGGCCCTAGGGTATCGATGTTCTCGTCGATACGCACCACATTCACGACCTCGCTGCGATACGTGTCGGCGTTCATGACCCCAATCAGGTGACATACTTGTTTCCTACTCCTGAGTGTAAGGCCCCGTTGGGCGTGAAAGCGACATCGAGGATACCACGCACGGCACACGCGTCCATAAGTCCACAGAGCGTGTTGTCTGAGATGATAGTCTTCTGCGAGACGATCAATTACTCTCTCCCAGATTTCCACCGGGCGTCGGTGAGACTGGAGACTCTGGATATAGGGTGTTGTTTCGTGTCCATTACCATCCACAGCTGAGCCGTAACGACAAGATAATTATCAGAAACTTCGCTCACACATTCCAGTAATGTTGCAAAACCTACGGTGATCAGCTTGCACCACCAGCCGCAACTTTTTTTGTGCTTCATCTGGACACGCAGATGCGAGTCCCATATGGTGAGTGGGTGGGATAGTTGTCTTGGCTAGCTCGTTATTCTGCTTTTAAGCTGTTGCAGTAGAGTTTGTCCACAAACCACTTTAAAATATCCCTCATAGCTTTGAGAACTGGGCGATGGATACTATGGAGTGGAAATGGACACATCTCACCGCAATACATCAAGGCGGGAATATATACATGGTATTCGGCTCTCTTTGGATGTTGGCTATATTTTGGATAATGACCTGCCCAGATGCAACTTCTACAATCTCAGAATCCCAAACCAATTGATACGGAGATCTTGTTTATTAATGATCCGGACCGGTGAGGATGAGTCGCACGGCGAAATATGCCAAATGCCTAGGTTGTCATATATTGGACGTAAAAATAGAGTTCTGTTAGAAGATAAGTCAAAGTTAATCAGCTGCCCATAAGCACAATGGGAAATCATTGAAAAAGTGCGTAAGAGACAGCAAATAAACGAACGCCAGTGAGGATACACAGCGCCCTTGATTTTTCGTGATCGTAACTTTGCTTTCAAGCGTTGCATTCCTGCTACATGAGTCCAAATTTCCCGAGTTGCAGGAGGAAGATCTGCTACACGCCGTATGTGGTTGACGTCAGCAGACACAGTACCACCAAGATATCTGATCAGCTTTCACTTCTGAGGATAATCCTGGTAGTGCACAGTATCGATTGCATCAGACAGTGAAGGAGAAGCGATAGTTTACGAGTCAGTCCAAACGTAGTTTTGGTAAAGCAATAGGGAGAATTAGCAGCGCGTGACCAAGCAAAGCGCTAAGGTAGACCCAGTGCGGTTTCTATGACATCACGTGATTTATTTTGTCACACTTAGCAGGGAGAGGTACACACTATGAAAAAATGGAAACCGACAATTTGCCAGGAGTACCAGTGCCGAATTTTTGTCGGTCTTCGTTTTTTCATATTTGACGTTCACACAGAGGAGATAGAGATACAAGAATGCCAACACAATCGATGTGTCAATAAGCCTGAATTAAATATTTTAAGTCATAATTCCGTATACACCCATTGGGTCGGTCTCTAATGCCAAAGAGTGCAGTACAAAACATTGTGAATCCAGGCTCACATGAAGCAAAAATAATCTCTCTCTCTTCTAGTACTGTGTGTACCCTATTTCAGTTTACTCTACTTCACATCATACATAGTCTTTATGTCTCACTAAACAGAAATCCCCTCACTGGCATGCGGGACTTATCCGGCGTCCGATAATCGAATAACCCTTATCTGTAACGAATCCACGTGATGGTCACAGTATCACGATAGTGATGGAATCCGCACTGGGTCTACCTTACGGGAACGCTGTTGGTCATGTTTTATGACACAACACGCCCGCCGCGTCGTATCACAAGAGCTCTTTTTTGAAAACTAATTCCTAGTTGATACTCCGTACCGTAGGGTACATGCAGAGCATCTGTAACTAAGACAGTCCCGGCATCAATCATTTCGAGACTTCTAGCCTGAAAGATGGTGGCTGCCCGGGAGGTAGACGAGTCTGTGACCAAGCGGTGCCAGCAGCTATAACCTCAGACGCCTAGTGGTTTAATGGCGAGCATCGGGACACCAGTCTCCAGCACAGCGGCTTCTATGAATACGAACGCGTCTCAATCCGCTCGTACATTCCACCGACTCCGACAAAAATTGAACAATCGTTGCTCAATCTCAATTCCCAGCAACCATCAATATTTCAATGTCCACACTAAAACCCACGAGGCTAAGGACTAGACGCGAACACGGATGACAATTGCGTGCAACGTGCGTACATACCACCCCTACGGATCCAATGCGGGGTCATGGTCCTGTACGTTTTATTCAACCACGTAACAATGTTGGACACGGAGCAGGATTGGCCTATTATTCTCACCGTTGGCCTCACCTTTCTGACTGGCTACTTCATGTTCGCACAGATACGCACTTGTTGGGGCGGAAAGCACGCACAAGTCAAAACGAAGGCGCACAGTGTTGAGTTCAGTGGTACGCGTCCCATGCCCGCACTCTATAATAGTCTTACCGGTGTACGACTATCCTAGGTGGTGGTCTTCGGCGGCGCAGAATGGGCGTATCCAAGGGATCGCGAACACACGCAGATGAATATCCCACTTCCCATGCACGACTGCCTGTTGAGATCTGGGAAAAGGTGATAGACTGTATCGCGGCGGGTGCTCAAGAGGATATTAGAGAGTCTCTGCTGACGTGCGCGGCCGTATGTCGAGACTGGTATCCAAGGTCCCGGCTCTACCTCCGTCAAAACCTCTGCCTTCACAAGAGGAGCCAACTCGTCAGCTTGATTAAGCTCATGCACAAGTACCCGGAATCATGGCTCACTCCCATTGTGCCTGTGCACACGGTGAGCTGTAGCAAGTTCGACCTCTTGGCGCCATTTGCTGCGGTTGCCGCGCGCAGGCTGACACGAATTGAGGGGCTTTCTCTCAAGGATGCGGAATGGCTTCCCAGCATGTTTCATGCGGACGCTGCGGACGTGTTCCTCTGCCTCAATACGCTCACCTCAATAGTCAGGCTCGAGCTCCATAATGTAGTGTTCCCGTCAGGGGTAGTGTTCGGCCGCCTGCTCTGCTCTCTCCCTCGGATTTCATTGTTGCTGTGCGATCGAGTGGCGTTCCGAGCTCATGGAGATACTCTGGGTTGCATTCTCCCGCCGAAGAACTTCCGCCTTGCAGAAATCGAGCTCAGCGAAAGCTATAATGCAGTAGAGCTTTTGAATACAACATCGATACTGCACTTTCTCAAGACCCTCACTGTACGACACTGTAGTCGAAATGAGCTAAAGGGGCCCATACAGCTGCTTGTGGATACTGCGCGAGTATCGCTCGCCCGCGTACACATTGAATGTGAGGACAGCGAGGCTCCATGGTTCGACAGTGCGTCTTATAGCGTGGCAAAGTCATAATCTACATCGCCCTGAAGCCCTTGTTTTCAGGGTTCCCGTTGGATCTTCGCCATAACACTGGTCTGCAGGTTCTGTCGATCACTGTATTTGTCGAGGACACGCAATTCGCAGGCTGGCTGTACAATCTCTTGCATGGTGCATTGCGAGCAGAGTTGCGTGAGATCATAATCACCATGAGGGTGCAAGCATGGGTTGTCGAATCGGGGCTCACCAAGTTATTCCATGAGCTCCTGGAAGACAACCTATGCGCCACTCAGCTCGATCCGCTTCTATTGCGTGCGAGCGCTGCGACTCTTGAAGCGGTCACGTTCGAACTTCGGGCAGTGGCCCATCGCCACGAAGTCGATGCGCTCAAGTCTGTTCCTACAGAAGACCGTTGGCGGAATCATTTTGCGTATTTGTTTCCAGGTTTGAGTGCTCGTGGAATTCTTCGGTTGGTGATTGGGCTTTATTCATAGGGTATAGCTAACAATGCTTTACGTCTCCAGAACCCCTGTAGCTATAGAAATCTGTTAAATCCGTCTTCAACGCGTGTCTGTAACGATATCATATTCATACTATGAACTGACATGTCATACCTCGTAGTTACGATATACTAGCCCCTTCGGGGCTGATGCACACCCAGGAACAAGACTGACTCACATTTAGAAAAGGGTATCAGTCACACTGAGAGCATCCGCATCGTACATATAGTGACTGAGTTCCGTTACGATAATTTCGGCACTGCATTATCAAGGCATTCTCAAGCAAGGAACGGTTGAATTGGTTGCTGCTTCGTCGTAATGCGGATGCGCCATGGGTTTTTCTTAACTAGCCTAGGTTCAGCGAGATTGTCCACGCAAGTGATTGTAAGAATCGCTTCACATACCAAAAAAAAATCTGCTTGATCGGGTACCAATTCAGCAAATCAATCCCCTTTCACTTTGTGTGCATCATGACGAAGACGGCGTGCAGTCCTAATTGATACCACGACGATGTAGGAAAACATGATTAGCATGACAGCGGCAGTGCCAATGTCCACCATGGCAAGGTCTCCCAATTTTCCAACTGGGATAGTAACTTCGGCACGTTCGTCGGAGGGTGTATGCGGGATTAATGATATGCTTGAGAAGGCGAAGGCGTCGGGGGAGACATGAGGTACCAGCTGCTCGGGAAATGGACGACTGAGCTCTGAGGTACTGGATCAACAAGTATTGAAAGGTGTTAACAGTACAGGATTGCTCACCTGACGTCGGACATGCCCAAAAACCTAGAGGCGGTGGCAATATGATGGTGTGGTAGGGTCTACCAGATTCTTCGGCAGGGTGCCCGTATCTGGCGTGTAACGGAATGTCGACAGTGTACTCGTACCGAGTGTCTTCGACAATTTCGACGTCGATAAGCAAGACGGAGCCATTCTTGTCGACCGCTGCAACGGGTCTCTCAAGGTCGGAAGTTCCGCGCAAAGAGGACGCATAACCAGGACGCAGAGCAAGCTCGTACTGATCGGCATAGACATCAGGGGGAAGGACATGGACAATATGAAGACTACAGTTTGCGACGGCCGATACGTCCTCGACATGGACCCTCGTCGAGTATGTGAAGTGGAATCCCTGCGCGGAAAGGGACGAGGAGAGTGAGGCCGCCGGCATGTGGTCGTGGAGGGAGATCCGGCGTGCAGGCGTGGCGAACGTGCGCACTCTCGACGTCTATCTCTCCTTCTATCTCTCACTTACCCGACGATCTGTTTCGTCCTAGTATAAATCAATCCCGACATGCAGACGAACGCGGAACAGTCGTCTTCTCCTCCTTCTTCTCCCCAGCTCTCCCCCCGCGATCTCGCACACGTCGACGGCGCGCTGCACATGCATACCATCGATGACTCTTCACTTCAAGCAAGACCAGCTCCTTTTGCCGCAGGCGGAACCAGGTAAGTGTCATCTAGGCCGGCGTGTGTGGCTTGTATAACTAACAAATACAGGCTGAAAGAATTCGACCAGTCTGCTGTATCGAGTAGGATACCATCAGGAACAGCTACGCCTCCTATATCCGTAGTCGGCATTGGCAATAAGGGTGTGTATTGGCTTTCGTGACCTCACGCGCCGTCCTGACCAGTTGTAATTCATGCAGTCGCAAAGCCCGACTATTCCGAAGCAAAGATCGTGGTCGCTACGGTCAGTTTTAACCATTATGCTTGTTTCATCTCATTAACTCTGTTCACTGTTCAGGTCGGACTACCCGCTCGTGGAAAGTCGTACTTGAGTAATAAGCTAATGAGATACCTCAAAGTTTGCCCTGCATCCCCTCCGAATACCCTGTTTGCCTGCTGACGATCGGGTAGTGGCTGGAGTACGATGTCAAGGTCTCTTTATTACTCCCGTCAATTTCATCATTGTCTGACCTGTTTACAGGTATTCAATGTTGGACAACTGCGCCGCTCACGAGCACGGCAGCTTGCATTAACGTACGTCTTTTCTGCTCGTGTAGTTCGCGTATTACCAGACCACCGTGCATGATATAGAACTGGTCAGCGCGGATCCCATAACGCAGACTACTTCAGCCACCAAAATGCTGAAGCAACTAAACTACGCGACAAGCTTGCGGAAGACAGTCTAGAGATGCTCATTCAATGGCTGAAGGATGGTGGCAATGTTGGAATACATGGTATGCCTGAGTAAACTCAACACGATAAAGTTATACCTCATATTAGGCACAGATGCGACCAATAGCACACGGAGCAGAAGGTAAAGCGTTCTCTGATACCCGCGCTTTCTCCTTACATTATCTCATTCGCCTAGACAAAAAATTGAACGACGTGTCGCCAAAGAGAAAGGGATTGTCGTCATTTTTCTAGAGTCCGTGTGTGACGACCCCGCAGTGATCGCAGCAAACGTTGCGCTGAAAGTGAGCTCGGGCGATCCAGACTACAAGGACATGTCGCCAGAGATGGCGAAGGCGGACTTCCTGCGGCGCATCAAAGCGTACGAGTCAGTGTACGAGACGATCACGGAACCGCACTTGTCGTACCTTAAGATCATCAATGTTGGCAACCAGGTCACGATGAATCACATTCGCGGATACCTGCAAAGTCGTATTGCATTTTATCTCATGAACTTGCATTTGAAGCCGCGCAGCATCTTCATGTCCCGGGTACAATTCGCGTCTGTCTGATTCGTTTACCTCGCTGATGCTGATCGCGTCGTAGCACGGCGAGAGTCAGTATAACGTCGAAGGCAAGATCGGTGGTGACTCTCCGCTCTCCAAGCGTGGCATGGCGTATGCTCGCGCACTGCCCGCACTCATCACAGACAATATCGGCGATGCGGAACTTACCGTGCGTTTTGTCGCCTACTTTATCTGATATTTTTGCATGACTGTCTCCGTAGGTTTGGACGTCCACACTGCAGCGGACGATACAAACTGCGCAACTTTTAACATATAATAAGTTGACGTGGAAGTCTTTGGACGAGCTCGATGCGGGCGTGTGTGATGGCATGACATACGAGGAGATTGAGGTACGCCATGCCATGCTCTTGCGTGCAATCAGACGCTTAGTAACCCTCCGTCACGTCGACAGCAAGCGTACCCAGAAGATTTTGCCAATCGTGATGAAGACAAGTTTAACTATCGATATCGAGGTAGGTCTTTTTAGGGCAGACTACACTGGATATATCACGGTCCATTGGCCAGGCGGTGAGTCGTATCGCGACGTGGTGGTTCGCCTCGAGCCCGTCATCATGGAGCTAGAACGACAAGAGAATATTCTTATCATTGGCCATCAAGTGAGTGAAGGTACCTTCCATTTTTTATCGGCCAGTTAACTGACTGCGCGAGCAACCAGGCCATTCTACGCTGTTTGTCAGTATCTCTATTCTAACGTTCAGGACTATCACTCTGTCCGTGGTCTTCTGACATCTTATCCCCACAGATACGCATACTTCCACAACCTTACCCAAGCCGATTTACCATACATCAAGATACCATTACATACCGTGATCAAGCTAACGCCAAAGGCATACGGTTGTGACGAGGAAAGGTATTGCTCTTTATGTAGGATGGTTGTTAGCAAGGCTCAAACAGCTGCGTCAGATATACTTTGCCCATTCAAGCCGTGGACACTCACCGTCCGAAACCCCGTGCTACGAAGCAGCCCGATGACATTCCGCAGACAACATCGCGCCGTGAATACTACGCCGACCCCATAGTTGCTTGAGTTCCAACAACTGATCCCGCAAGCGAGAAATGAATGAATAGAAGACTATCTACTAAATCATCTTTAACAGTGTATAAATCCGGTATAACACCACGGGGTAGTATCTGTATCGATACATGTATCGCATGTCTAGATTGCATTCTTATGGCAGCGGGGAGATTGGGTATACTAGCTGACTTGTTGCAGAGGGCGCCTCGACTGTTGCTGAGCAAACAGCTCGTCAGCGAAGACAACGTTGTCCACCGTCTCCACCGTCAGTGTTGCGTTCGACTGATGGGTGTTGAGCCAAAGCCATTTGAACCCGATGTGGTATTGAACGGCCGGCCACCATCTGCGCGTCAGAGGATTCGTAGGATCCGACCATCCGTCCCACTGGTAGTATCTCGACGTGCCGTCAAGGCAATTGCTATTGATACCGTCAGCATCAAACATTTGCAGATGCAGACCTACTTACAAATGCAGCATCTTGGGCAAGACCACTTCGCCCTCATGCGGGGTGCCAAGCGTGTGAATTTGCGAATGCAGCTCTGCTGCATCGTCCGCACTGTCGTCCCCAAGCGCTGTCCCGTACATCTCCAGCAGACAGCTCGATACCTCCCACGAAAAACCAAGGTGCTCAAAGACGTCTGGCCGATGCGACACGATCGCCCACCAGTATCCCTGGTCGCCCAGCTTCACGCCCTTGTAGTGCCCATCCATGCTCGGCTTCCCGAACATCGCCTCAAAAGCAGGCGGCGCGAGGGCCGGCGGAGACGCGGGGTGGGTGGACGATGCGTGTTGTGCACCAGTGCCGTCGTTACCGGTGTTGAGTGCGCGGTATGCGGTTGAGTCCATGAGGCGCAGAGCGCGTAGCCGCGCGAGGTCGAGCAGCATTATGCAGGAACAGATCCGGTTCGCGTGGTGCCACTCCTCCGCGCTCTGCTCGGGGTGCGTCGGCATCGCGATGGCAGTTGTCGGCTTCAGATGAGTGAATGCGTCCCACAGCTGAGCGGGGTCGGTGATGAAGAACGCGTCTGTGTCGATGAAGATCGCGCGCGGGACGCTTGGAGGGAGGATTTCGTGGATGAACAGCTTCATGAGGCCCGCTGCGTGCGCAGATGGGTGCGTAAGGGAAGTAGGAGGGGAAATTGGACGACTCACGCGTGCCAGCGGAATGGTCTGTCGTGATGGCGCCTTCGCGTTCTATGCGCGCAACCATGCTAGACCATGAGAGACGGTAGAAGCGAACGAGGATATTGCGTGCGGGTCGAGTGACTAGTCGGAGACGTTTCTCCAGGAATGTCTGCGCTACATCATCGCAGATGACGTGGAACTCGATGGGAACGGAGCTGTACATGATGATAGACTGTCCGCATTCGTTATAGCCTCATTCAGTCACAATATACTAATTACGCACTTTCATGAGCACCGCACCCTCTGCTGCCGAATCCTCCGAAAACATAATGAGCGAAAAGACCACTGGTGCTGGGCCGGTTTTAGCATGGGTATTATTGGCGACTTCTGGGGTATATAAGGCTGGCTTGTGAGGCAATTTGTGTGATAGAGGTGATTTTGGTCGAACACGGGCTGCAGCTGAATGGAGGGGATAGTCATCGCCATAAGCCACCCATTCGTACTGACTCTCGTCCCGCACACGAATTAACAACAATACCGAGATAATGAAGGCGATGGACGCGGCGACAAATACGATTTGTCGGAAGCGAGGACGACGACGGATGAGTTCTGCACGCGCGCGCCAGGGAGATGGCGGCGGATTGTGTAATGTGGAGGTGTCCAGGTAGTGTCGAGTGAAGGACATGACTTGACGCCTACGACAGCAAGGAGCGGGGATAAATGATACGAAGAGATGTGATGGTGGGCACAGATAGCCAGTGGCTTGTGATGCCTAGTAGGGCTTTAAAAAGGGGGGGATAGCACTGTGTCTAGGGAGTCTCGAGACCGGATTGTAGAGAGTGTGTGGATAAAATAGTTTACAGTCTAGCAATCGACTTGTGGAAAGGGCTGAGAATGATTACGCTCGCAGCGGGCTCACCAGTCCTTAACGAACACGTAGAACCAGTGATTAAAGACAAGGCTTGAGCATGAAGGTCGCTCATTAAACGAGCAAGGTCTAGTTAACGTACTGCAAGGGCAATGGATTCAACCGAGGCTAAGCGAGTGATACCGAACCCGAGCAACTCGCCGTCAAGTCAAATCAGGGCGAAATTTCCGCACGCATACACCAAGCGAGACGTTAGCTTCAGACTTCAAGCTTCAAGCGACGAGAACTCAATGATTTAAGAAGAGGATTGTATCGCCCTTGGCGCGTCTGGGCAGGAGAGCCGGAGGAGCTCATCAAAGATGGAACGCCACGGTTACCAGAGTTTCCCAAACATCACATATGAGTTTTCACTACAATTAGTTATAACTTAGAAACCGGCGTTAACAGATGGAACAACTCTTACCGTCATAGTAGGAATTCACAAACCCGTGTTTATCTCCGAATATAATTAGGGCGTTTTTCGGCGCCGCAAACCCAGCTTTTCGCACTATATTACAGCAATACCACTCGGGATCCGTCATGAAATACTACATTACCCTCCCCAAATGTGAGTCTCAAAGGTTCGGACTCGCTCAGACTCGTGCATGGGATGTCAACTGGAACTAACCTAGGGTTAAGGCTTCAGACTGTCAGCGCAAGTGTGTTCACAACTTTGATTCTTGTCTCACAGTTCGTACGGAATTCTGCATCGTGAAAGATGGCTGTCAGCTTAAATCCCAAGTGCTCAGAAACATTAAGTCTCCGGTATCATTTCAGTCAATGGCTAGTCAGGCTGTATAGGTGAGTAAAGAATACTAGTGGGTGGGTGCCTAGGCTGTAAGGTTCCTTCAGATGTATGTGGCATTAAAATGCACCACTTATCGGGATCGCTCTGCATTGTTGAAATTCCGATGATGTAAGATTGGCCACATAATACCACCAATATTTTCTTTTTGTTTCTAGTCATACTGCATGGTGTCATAATTGTGGACTGATTGTCGCCGCTGCGCCGGCGTTTTTCTTTTTACCACGCGGCATCAAGAAGACTCAATTATCGATTCACGTCTTATCATTCCGAACCACTTGAGCTGCTGTTAAAACCATGGATGTATATGAAGAGGACTATCGTTTACCGACGAACGTCAGGCCGACGCATTACGATCTGACAGTCAAGACTGATCTGAAGTTGCTCAGATTTGATGGCATTGTGCGAATATGGTGAGTTTCTTTTCTTTTCTTTTCTTTTCTGAACAGACTGCTAACTGCTGATACAAATTTCATCCAGGCTGAATGTCATAGAGGACACCTCGGCAATTATTTTGAATTCTAGCGACCATGAAATCGGCAGTGCAACTCTGCAGTGCGACGCCCTCCTCACCGCACAATCGCCGACATCACAAACAATTGACACGACTCATGAGCGCGCTGTTTTTTTATTCTCCATACCGTTGCCCGCCGGCTCGAAAGCACAGCTAACTTTGACTTTCACCGGGGCACTCACCGATTCCCTGTGTGGGTACTACCGCTCAATTAGTGCTTCTGAAGATCTATCTACAGTCTATAGCCTGACTCACTTTGAGGCATGCGCAGCTTTCCTGCCGATGCCTTGTGATACATCTAACATATTGGTTAGCCTGTTGCCGCTCGGAAGGCATTCCCGTGCTGGGATGAACCTCTGCTCAAGGCTTCCTTTACCATCAGCCTTGTATCTCGGGCAGACACTGTAAACCTGAGCAACATGTCCGTTGCTTCAGAGATCGTGTTGTCGCATGGAGCTGCCATTTCGACCAGCGCTGGCTTTGATACTGCCTGGATTTCAGAGAAACTATTAACTGATGGTACTGCGAACGCTGATAAATGGAAGGTAACACGATTTGAGACCAGCCCCCTTGTACGTTTATACTTTCCATCTGGTGTCACAACAATCAATACATCGCAGATGTCTACATACTTTGTCGCCTATGCAAATGGCGAGTTTTCTTACTTGGAAAGCTCTTATACGAGTCCCCTCAGCGGAAGAACACGTTCAGTGCGCGTCTATGGTACGTTTTGTGCGCTTAACCATTGCGCATTGCTAGCGATACTGCATGTTCTCCTTCAGCTACGCGAGACATTGTCCACCAAGCTCAATTTGTGCTGGATCTTACAGTGAAAGTCATCCCGCTATATGAAAAGGTGTTTGACATCGAATATCCTTTGCCGAAGTTGGATACACTAGTCGTCAGTGTAATTTTCATCTAACGTTTTGTGTCGCTGATCTTCATAGGCAAATGACATGGATGCAGGCAAGCGTTCCGTACCTGTCAGATCCATATGCTTATGCTAAAGGGTATGTCATACAGATGCAATGGAAAATTGGGTACGTGCATGGAAAAGGGCCTCGAGACGCGGAAAAGATGATGTCATTCGTGATCAGGGTTTAATTACAGCGCGCACGATCGCTGCTTTGCTTAATCCAGCGAATTCGGATATTGCGGCACGTAATTTCGTAGCAAGGACACAGTGCCATGAGGTGGCTCACATGTGGTTCGTTATTCGTTTTTTACTTTCCAAGCTGTCCGGAGGGAGATCGGCTCTCAAAGGTTCGGAAATATCACCACAATGAAATGGTGGGACAACCTCTACCTGAACGAAGGTAAGGAGATCTGTAAACGGTTCTAGGGGACGTATGTCAGTATCTCACAGTCTTGATGGACGCGCAGGATTTGCCACACTCGTAAATCTACCCCTTCACCCTTCAGGCTATTTGTTAACCTTGCTGATATCACAAAGATGGGCGAAGTGATGATATTAGGTATGTAGTGCCGCACATTCATTGAAGCATGCAGTTCATTCAGAGCGTCCGAATAGATAAGTACGCATTTATTCCCAGTAAACGTAAACCTCGTACCTACTCACCTTCATGGGGTATTCAGAGTATTTCCTGAATGGAAGCTGCATTCCACGTTCATATCGACCTTCCTCCAGAGTGCCCTCTTGCTTGATGCCAGATTATCATCCCACGCAATCGAGGTCCCCTATCCCGATGCCAATATGATCGGTCAGGTCGGGTTTATCATGCTCCCCATATTTGAGTTCAGTTAACTTGCTATCATCACAGATTTTTGATGCTTTATCGTACGAGAAGGCAGCATCAGGTAAGTATTATCTTGATCGGAGCGGAAGATCTGTTGAACAACAAATGGGTTGAAGTTTTGCGCATGTTATCGCACTATGTTGGAGAAGAGCATTTCCTCCGCGGCGTCTCGATGTACCTCAAGAGCCATTTGTATGGCAACAGTGTCACGGAGGACTTGTGGGAGGGTATCAGTACGGCCACAGGTATTTATCCGCAAATTTTCAACGACTGTCATCTTGATGTTGGCATCCGACAGGCTTGGACATCAATAAGATGATGAACAATTGGGTTAAAGAGGTGTGTTGGTACTCAGCTACGAACTTTCACATATATACTCGTTATCTATCGACACTGTCAGATGGGCTTCCCAGTTGTTACCGTGACTGAAACACACAACGGCATTCATGTTCGCCAGGACCGATTCCTGGCGTCCGGTCTGGCCGAGCCTGACGAAAATGATACCATATGGTGAAGCATTCCATAACTGCGAAGTCTGACGCCGCCGTTGATGGTGATCTGCTCAGGACGATTCCTCTATTCCTTCTGACTGTATCGGCCGATGGAACAGTCTCAGTTGACGAGGAAATAGTGTTAGATGAACGCGAGAAGATCATCGCTCTCGATATAACCAAGCCCTTCAAGCTCAACGCAGGAACACTTGGCTTCTGTATGCCATGTTCTTGCGCTCTGCTTCGGTGGAATAACTAAACTCTTCCCTTCATTCAGATCGCGTTCTTTACTCTCCAGACAGATTGGTTCAAATGGCTTTGGAAGCAGTGAAACCCTCATCCCCGTTCTCCACAGAAGATCGTATGGGTATCATATATGACGCAGTCGCCCTTTCCCGTGCTGGGCTCATAGATGTTAGTAGCGCATTGTCATCAATATATGTCTTCCGGAATGAAACGGATTGTGAGCCATTCTCCTCCACATCGATCAAAGTCTGATACTAGGCAATGTAGATCTCGTCTTGGAGGGCATATCTTCCTGCCTTTACCAGCTCATCTCCGTTTGGTGGGAATATCCGCTTATTGTCGATTCTTTGAATGAATTACGCCGTGTACGTGCATCGTATGACCGGTGTACGGCAAGGGGAATATGACTTTTGTCAACAGGAAATTTTCTCCCCAATTGTGCAATATCTTGGATACGACTATATGGAGACTGAATTGTTGGACATACATCAACTGCGAACGTTGGCCATCAGTCATGCTGCAGCTGCAGGAGATCAAGAGTACGCACGGGTTTATTACGGCTCATATAAAACGTTACTAGTTGCCTACAGAGTAATTCAAACAAGTATCAATTGGTTCGCCCGCTACATGCAATCTGGCGACGATTCGCATATACGGGGGGACTTGGAAGCTGTGGTATTTGCGACGGTGAATTGTGAAAGCTTCCCATGACGAGTCGTTGTACTGATGAGATGATTTTGGCGTTGCAAGGCTGTTGAGTACGGTTCTCATACCGAATGGGAAGCTGTCAAGCAGATTTCCTTGAAGCCGAAAAGCCCGTCCTCTGGAATGGCTGCCATGCGTGCGATGTGTGCAACACAGGACTTAGCCCTGGCTAGAGAGACAGTCAACTATGCATTTCACAAAGCACGCGACCAGGATATAACATACTGCTTCGCTGGACTGGAAAAGAACTTCAAAACTAGAAAACTCTTGGCGACCGCTTTCATGGAGAACTTCAGCAATGTCTGCTGATCCCTATTGTGATGACCTCGGGCTCATCGTGCTCTGTATTAGGTCCACAATAAGTTCGCCAGCAGTTATATGTTTAGGTTCCTTATCGAGGTAATCAATCGGCTAAACTTAGTTCATGAATTGATGTTCACGCGTAATCTTTGCACAGTCTGCGTTTGGGTCACTCTCGTCAAGACAAGACTACAATGACATTGATGCTTTTTTTCGGGTAAATAATTCAGTCCATACACCATCCCGTTCATAAACTAGTTTCACACGCAGGACAAGGACGTCTCAAAGATCAGCCTACAGCTTAAACAGAATTTAGACAACATACAATCAAACGCGGCCTGGGTCGAGGTTTGTTCTTGACAGATGGAGCACTTAATATGGATTCTAACTATATCTTATTAGCGATCTACAGCTGACCTCAGACAATGGTTTTTGGAGCGAAAGTAGCCTCGTAACATGTAAGTTGTAGCACAAGTAGTGTTTGTTGTCGAAACCGTGAATGTTGTCATATTGCACATGTGCACTACCTCTCGTAAATGGATGGGTAGGAGCCTACGCCTTAACGGCACCTTACTTGAGTCAAAATGCCAATTAGAACGATAGCAAATGCAGCATCGGAATCAAAGGCTGTGTCAGATTTTCAAAAATTCCTACTCATACAGGTTCATGATAGTTCTTTCATACACCAGTTCTTCAAGCATGACCGTCAATGGCAAGCGGACGGTACGGCTCTTCGAGATATTTGATCTCGTCCTGTGTCAGTTGAACATGCACAGCGCCTGCGAAATATCGAGATGTCGTGAGTATCGGGTACATCGTGTATGAGACTACATGCGCACCCAGAATATCTTCTAGATTCTTCATGCTCGTGGTGCCAACTATGGGAGCAGTAACGCCTGCGCAACCGCCGATGGACCCCGGTAATCAGCGTCAACCCCGGGCTAGGCAGTATGCATGTACGCACCCTCTTTCGAGAGACTCCAGGCAATAGCGATCTGAGCCATGCTAGCACCTTTCTTTTTTGCAATCTCTTCAACGCTGCGAACTCAGGTCAGCTACTAGCTAGGACATAGAGTGCAGCACGCACCGCTTCACGATCTCCGGAGTTCCAGCGGAGTCTTTGTAATGATTGACAAAACTACAACGCGAGCGTTAGTCCACTTCATAAACCCTTGGACACCGTTCTAATTCACCTATCTGTCTCTCCTCGCTTGGTTTGTTCACCAAGTGGGCGGGCAAGAACACCTCGCGCCAAAGGAGACCAGGGGATAGCCCCAACGCCGAAGAGCTGGTATTCATCAAAGGTTGTTGACGTGCTCAAAAAACCACGTGCTCACCTTGAGCGTCGGGAACATCTCGCGCTCCTCCTCCCGATAAACGAGACTGTGGTGGTTTTGCATAGAAACGAATGGGGTCAAGTTGTGATTGATCGCGTAGTCTATGTAGAACGAATGGAAATGGTGAATTTGAGGTAAAGCAGTAATAGCACGCTAGCTCACTTTGCATGGCATGGACTACGACGGAGACAAGTGAGAAAGCAATTACTGAAAGAGCACAAGCAACTTACACTGGTACGCGTAGCAGGAACTCATGCCAATGTAGCGAACATAACCAGCCTTTACAACATCGTGAAGAGCTTGCATCTTGGATCCGAAATCAATTAGGACAAGTTCCGCCTTGAAATATGTATGACTTACGGTCTCCTCTATAGGCGTATCGTAGTCAAATCTGTGACCTAGATCGCGCCTTGATTAGCTTCTCGCTCAGCGTAGAATGTGCTTTCCTAACATTGAAGGAGATCGACATAGTCCAGCTGCAAGCGCTCCAGACTCTTCTTCACGGAATCGAAGATGTACTGATTGCGAGTACTTCAGCCATTCCATGACGAAGGATGAAGCTAATGAACGCACCTTGCGGTTCAGCCCCTTCTGATTGATGATTCCGAGGTCCTCTGGCTTCAAACCCTGGGCCATGATACTCATGTCATATCTCGGCGCAACGGCACCAAATAGCTTCAAGTAACCACCATAAATTCAAGGGGAAATTGAGAAGGCCAATAGCGCGTACTTTCGTCATAACAACAATTTCTTCCCGAGGGAGGTTCAAAGTCTTGATCGCTTTCCCCAACATCACCTCCGATAGACCGTTAGAGTAGACCTATTGCAGAATCCGTATTTGATCATTGTACAAGTTCAAAAGAAATGCACTACTTGCATTGGCAGTGTCGAACGATTGTATACCGTTGTCGTATCTTATATGACGTGCGGATGAGAAGGGTCGTGTCCAGCGCAACGTCGAGACTCACGCGAATTTAATCTGTCTGTTCACCTCCTCCTGATCCTCGATCACCCACTTGTTCCATCCGGTGCTGCCATACTGCATGCAACCTAAGATGATCTTAGATACCTTCAGGCCAGACTTTCCTAGCCGAACTGGATGGGATCAAGATGAGCGAGATGCTATATAAAGAATGAATGCGCACACACCATATGGCATCGTTCTCTTCGAGTCCCCCGACATGATGTATTAACAAGAGCTTTGTGCAAGAGATGGATAAAGGATGGCTTCGGAAGAAGGTAGTAATTGCATCTATGTCTGTAGTAGATAGATATATCAGTGCCGAATGGAAGAACTATGTCATAGAACATGCGCCGAGATCTCATGACACGGTCGAATGTTGATTATGAAGACACGGAGCTCCGCATTTCGCTCTTGCAGGTGGGTCGCTCTTCGACGAATTCGAAGACATGTTTCGGATCTGAATCCCCCAAACAACTTGGCTCAGATGATCATTGATAGATCACATATTCTCGAGCTGGCCATAGTGGCAGTAGCGTGATAAAAATACTTTTCAATGTCGATCGGTTGTCAAAGCCTTGGTACGATGGCAATAGATCGCTTTCCCCCCCAAGTACAAGGAGGCATGCAGGTGAGACTCATCTGGGAACTTCTGCGAATTTCTGGTCCTCACGGCTGGTTATGCGCTCTTCTAAGAGGGGGAAAGGTAGCTCATGGTTGCAGCCATGACTGTCACTGGACGCCTATCGTTTATTCCAGCTATCTCAAGGCATTCTTCACGAGAGTCAGCTGAAGGGTGCATCGCGATACTCAAGATCAAACATACTCGACTGCTACCATAGAATACTCGTTTAAATTCACACCAGCACGCGAAGAACATATTGAGCCCTCAGTTCAATTGCGAGCCACCGTTTGCATTAGATACAAACAGACATCAATCTGACATCATGATACGTAGCATATGCGTCACCGCCTAGTCAAGATCCTCCTCACGAGCAAACAGCGCATCGACGAATTCCCGGGCGAGGAGTTGGTGGTCTCGACGGACAGGCCGCATTATGGGGATCATGGGCTCTTCGATAGGCATCCGCGTCGGCTCCATCTTCCATTGAACCTCTTGAGCGGGGACATCCATCATCTCCGGCTGCTCCCAGCCGTACCGGCTAGGGGAATACGCCATGGACTCCGGTGCCAACCCGGGCTCTAAAGCTACATGAGGAGCACCCTCGAAAGAAGGTGAAGAGGAAGGCGGGAAAGGGGAGACCACAGGCTCGGCTGGTTCCTCGCGTAGCACAAGGTGGACTAACTTCTTGAAAAATCCACCTATCTTTTTCCCTATTTTGCTACGCGCAACCAAGTGATGTTCCGAAAACGGTTCGGCCGGCTCCCAGTCAGGCTCCTCGAATGCCATATCCGTCGGCCTCCAGGGACCCTCATTTACAGGATATTCCGGTGGCACCCACTCGACGCGGGACTCTGGCATGCTCATAAGCTCGGGCATATATGTTCCTGGTTCTGGCTCGGGAACCGCAAGCTGTCGAGCGAGCAATCGAGAAGCACTGAAAAGTCACATCAGCTCAGCCACTTTGGGATGAGTAGAACAAGACTTACGTCGCAACAGGGCGCGCGAAGGCTGGACCGATGCACGCGGCCACAATGAGGGTGGGGACTGCGAAGGAGCGCATCGTCAAAGAGACGGAGGTGTTCGTTTCGAAAGGGGTCAGAAAGAATGTCGTGAAATGGATACGATATAAAGCAAGGCTGAGACGAGTCAGCGAGAAATGAGTTACAAACTAATAATGACACTTACCAGCCAGTACCTGTACTTAAAAAATGTGAGCTCGAAAAAGTGAAGGCTGAGAGCTGAAAAAATCCAACATGCCGTCAAGGTGCATTTTATATGCGGAGCAAGCTGAACCCCGATGCGGTGAACCGAGACCGGTACATTACGGGGATAATAATATGCAAGCGAAACACGCGCCGAAGGGAAAATCGATCATCAACTGATAGGCATGGACATGATGGACCTCAACTTCCGATTTGGTTTCGAAAGTTGAGGTCCTGAGGGGGTGAGGTACTTACTGATCACCATTACAGTCAACCATCACTCCTTGGTACGCCATCACTCCTTGAAACGGAGGCTTCTGGAGGGCGTGATTTTGGATATATTGCCTTAATGCCTCGGACTTTTAGCCACAGTGTTTCTATGACTATGGCCTCTTTGTACATCTAACAATGAGCAGAATATGTGCAGTAATGTTTTCGGGTCATACCAAGTACTGAGTCTTACAAGATATCTAGCTTCGGAGCGTTCAAATTGCCGCGATCTTATGCTACTTGGATTCAGTCACTGGCCCGAATATACTCTGTTGAAGGCCGTAGACAGTCTCTGGCAGCATGCTCCGAAGTGGGTGAGTTTCCGTAGGAAATCTGGGACTAAGTTTCCAAAGTTGCGGCCCTCAAAAGCAGAGACCAGGAAAGCTACAATATCTTAGATAAAGGCAAGTTCCGGCAGCTGGGCTAGCCAAAACGGGTGCAAATGTGGCGCACAAGTTACGCTTGCGTTCAAATTTGGAAGTTGGAACGGGGGTCGGGGAGCCCCCTCTAAACCACTGTCGTATTTGGAATGAAACCAGGCAATGATCCACCCAGATCAATCTCCCCCCGAGAGCGAGGTTTGCTCAGCACTGGTCAGTCACGTCCGGGATTACTATCTACGGTAAGTGTGAGATTCTATCATGGTTTCAACAGCCTTGAAAACTGAAAATCTGGAAACTTCAGCTCCAGATTTCCTCAGGAAAGTCATCCAGTAACAACCCTCTCAGCTTTCATGCCCGTACCCCACCGAAATCGCCTGTTTCTTGCCGATGCATACTCGCTTCCAACCGCTTACGGCTAACTTTCATTGTCAATGTTGATCTCGGCTCAACATCATGTTGATAACGTTTTGTGATTTCCAGAGAAGTGCTCTAAGTGAAACGAGTTTTATTGCCCCGGCTGGAACAGACCTCCGCAGGCCAAACATATAAATGTCGACATCGCTGTCCTCCCCTCTCTCAAATCCACTTGCCACTTTACCAGCTAAATCATGCCGTCTGTCTTCTCCCACACCTTCAAGACTCCCGTCTTCAATGGTTCCGTTGAGTTCTCGACCGGTCTTTACATTGACGGCGAGTTCATTGACGGTTCTAACGGGACTACGATTGAGTCTGTATTCCCCTTTCATTTCCATGCATCCTCTCTGACCAGACCATACAGCGTAGTCAACCCTTCTGACGGCAAAT